AGGCTGTGCACCATTATGGCAGTCCTTAATGCCCACACACAATACTTTCTTAACTTAAATGAACTTAAATGAATGAGCTCCAGATAAGATCAACCTGTTTCTGTCGGATGGAATTCAAATTTGAAATTAATATAAATAAATAAATCCTTTCCCACAGCGGTGCGAGTAACACGGGGAAGACATGCAACCAGAGCTTTCTCCACGTTATTCACAAGTCGACGCTACACTGCAGGGGTGGCTGGTGGATGTGCACACAGCCAGATTCAATACTAATCTATTCAATTCTCCGTCGCAATAAATTCTCTCACTCAATATCCTCTTCCCCATATCCACGCAATTCCACGGCACAAGTAGCAAATGAATACCTCCTCCCCTCTCACTATTCCCTCTCCAAGAAGAAAGAAAGAAAGAAAGAAAGAGTTATGCGGACTCTCTCTCTTTCCCGACACCAACATCAATACAAATAGAATATTGGCATCCAATTGGTCTCACTCAATACAAATATTGCAGGCGAACTGGAGATGAATGGATGGTGAAAGGAAGAAGGCAGGAAATGGATAGAGGAGGAAAAAAAGAAGATTCTACATGAATAAAATTTAAGGGAAAAGTTCTTCTTGGGCAATCTAAACAGGGGCAATGCCGAGTTGGTTGAAGGCAGAAAATCCTTCAAGGATAAGCATGTCGATTTTGTTGTTGATGCACTCCGATTTTCTACCGGCATCAGATCGGAAGCGACGTAATAAGCGTGAAGAAGGCGTTGTCTCCTTCTTTATTTCCTCTCCTTGTCGTCCTCCTCTCCTCCTCACAGTTCACTCAACAACAATGACTTTCACATCCAACTGACTGAGCATGGCAATGACACTGACAATGCAATAATGCAAGCAGGGTGGGAAGAAAAAGTGAATTGCGTTTAAATTCCAATGACTGCACTCGGATTAGATGCAGAGGAGGAAGGAGGATATAATAATATGGACATATTTGGAGAATGGCTGCATCTTACATACTTATTTTTTTAAGCAAAAAGAAAGCGAGGGCAATCCCCACTTTCAACCAAACCTCTCCCTCAGGCATTATCAGTCCAATTCAAAATTTCTCAATGCTTAGTCTCCCCTTTTCCCAATCGCCAAGACCTTGAACAAATTCTCGCTTTCCAGTTTCCACCCCATCCACCACCAATCCAGAATTTATAGGCTAAACTAAATGTGATTTGGTGATTGTGATAACCAACAGATTTTGTAACTAAGAAATTGGACAAAACCTGCAGAATTAGAAGAGTTCTTATTTATTGCATGTATGTTAATGTGTGCATGTGGATCGTAAGTTCGTGCTTATTTAATTCTTCAGCCAAAGTACTCCATCCATATTTATGAATTGTACATATTCTCATTAGATGTTAGATAGATTAAAATAACTTTGAATAATTTGAACTCTCAATTGCAAGGTTTTTGTGGTGTCAAAACAATCTGATGTTCTTGATTCTGATAATGTTTACACAATTCAGCTTTAACATTCGTGTAGCATACTTACACTTGCATGTAGCTACATACATACATATGTACATACGTGCCGGGCCAACTACTTTGTAATTCATACAATGCTTTCACTCGCCATAGACAAGTGTGTGAGGAATAAAAAGAAGCCGTGAGCAGTTTGTAGTAACAGAGAGACACTAAAATATTAAAGATTTAGATAAAAAAAATGGTTCTCTCCTGAAGATGAAAACAACGGCGTCAAAGATGAATGGGTAAAAAAGGTGTCATCCATCTAATATTATCGTAATTTAAAACTAGGACTCTTAGAGTTTAAGAATTATGACCAGCTTCGGGTCTCGTAATTGGAAAAGAATTGCAAAGTTGCATTTTTTACTGCGTCATCCACAGAATCATTTGTTGTACTACCTGAATAAAAATGGAGTATCACGGAAGAAACTCAACTTTTTCGTCCTCCAGGTCGGTCGTGGAGTAACGCGGAAAGATGCGATCTGAATAAATCTCTCTCTCCTCCTCGCACACCACCACCGACCAACTTGAGCCGCTCTCATGCTTTGCTGGAGAATGGGAGGGAGAAAGCATGAATGAGATCCAGATCATATTGAGAGAGGAGGACAAGGAATCGGGAAAAATTCCCACCGTAGCTTCAGCGATGCCTCCTTCACTCCACTTGCAAATTCCCCACCGGGTCCAAATTCCTTCAAGGTAGTGATCATCATCATCTTCTCCGTCGTCATAGCCTTGCCTTGCATGCGAGTCCCGTTCTCTCCTCTATTTCTCAGTTGTCTGCCCTTTTCGTGAAAAAACGACTGGGCCAAGTCCCACCGGGCAGCAGCAGACTTCTTTCCCTTCCACTATACTCGCAATAATAATCATAATAATGATATGATAAGGTTTCATATCCCATCCTCCTCCTCCTTCTAACGGTGATATAAACTATGATATCTCCACTTTCCCGGCTTGTGCCACTTTGTTGGCACTGGGTAGTAGGCTCGTGGATACACTCTCAGCAGGCAGCAGAGGAGGAGGACTAACGAAGCGATGAATAAGAAGTCGTCCACGTACATTTATGAGGGTCGCTCCCAGTTCCCACTGTATGCGGAGGATGAGCATGGATAAATTTCACGTACAACGACTCGGACGGATCTCATCTGCCTTACTTTACATTAGACATGGAATATTATGGATGGATGGAGAGAGAATTGGAGGAGGAATAAGAGAGTGGTGGTGGAGTTCGGAGGGCGAGAAGAGGGCCAAAAGCTGGTGTGCTCAAACTGCCGTGTAATGCCAGGAATGCTCCTTGTGGTTCTATAAGCCCTGACTCGGGCTAAAAAATTAAATAGAAATTGTGTAATGGTACAGAATTAATGCCGACTTAAATGCGACACCAGTAAATTCTAAAAAAATTAAGTAACAGAAAATGAAAGAGACACATCAATAGATACTGATTTCTTTTGTTTGATTTTGTTTTGGGTTGTTATATACATAACTCAATTACAAGTATTAAATAAGAAAGGTTCCAAAAAAATGGAAAATCTTGGTGAGGGTTAGAACAATTACAATATTAAAGACATTTTAGTTATATAATGTTTACCTCACTGCTCACGGACCATTCGCCATTGGATACACGATCATTTTTGCGAGGACAAGATCGAATGTTGTAAAGTCATAATTTGGCAGCCGGAACTTGTATGGTAACGTATATATGCTGTTACATCTGTTTACGTCCTAAACAGCTGTTCACAGAATCAGCGTCAGGTGGTTGCCAGATAAACTTTTTTGACGAAGATATTGGATTCCTGTTTTCTTTGTTCCAAAAGAATTTTATGACTCATACGAATAACAATTGATATTTAACTATTCGTTCCAACTGTCGCAATATTGGTGACTGCAAGGATACGCCATTATAGTTTGGTCGAGTAGGGAGAAGACAAAGCAAGTCTGACAAAAGTCATTTAAGATTGACGACTTCTTAATATGATGACACTAGCTTCTAAATCTTGACCTTTCACCTTTTATTATGTCATAATTTGCCATATAATCTCGTCAATCCTCTTAATAAGCAAATTATGACTTGATTAGACACACATTTATGTTTATTTTATGAGCATTTTCTCAATAGGTGGAGGACGACCCTTCCATCCTCAACGAATCGTCACGACATCATGAGTTTAATAACGGAACAACACCTATGGCCGCTGTGGCCACCCTAAAAAGGCATCTCAGACTAGCAAGCTTGCCGATATCTTTGCCCATCTACATCCCTACCATGAGCGGCATGGTTGGGAATGTATGGCGAAGGAGGACGATTCCAAGTTGATCAAAAATGTTCACCATCCTCCAGTCAATAAGATGAAAACCACCTGCGTTCACCTCATCAAGTAGCATTCCGCCTAATATCTAAGTCATGTTTCTTCCCTCAGTAACATCGGAAACACAGTGCATTTAACAATTCCTCGGCTGATATCCTAGTCGGCTTGCTACCCTTGTCTGCTGGATATCCTTGTCTGCTGGATATAATCGTCTGCTTGATATCCTTGTCTGCTGGATACCTTGATAACTAATCGTCTTGCCATTATCGTCGTCCTCGCCGTTTTATCATCATCATCGTCCTCGTCGTTGTCCTTCTAAGTTTGTCATCGCCTTCCTCCTCGTCATTTTATCATCATCGTCCTCCTCGTCATTTTATCATCATCGTCCTCCTTGTCTTGTCATCGTCGTCGTCCTCTTCGTCTTGTCGTCGTTATCGTCCACCTTGTCTTGTCATCGTCGACGTCCTCCTCGTCTTGTCATCGTCGTCGTCGTCCTCCTTGTCTTGTCATTGTCGTCGTCGTCCTCCTCGTCTTGTCATTGTCGACGTCCACCTTGTCTTGTCATCGTCGTCGTCCTCCTCCTCGTCTTGTCATTGTCGTCGTCCTCCTCGTCTTGTCATCGTCGACGTCCACCTTGTCTTGTCGTCGTCCACCTTGTCTTGTCATCGTCGACGTCCTCCTCGTCTTGTCATCGTCGTCGTCGTCCTCCTTGTCTTGTCATCGTCGTCGTCCTCTTCGTCTTGTCGTCGTTATCGTCCACCTTGTCTTGTCATCGTCGTCGTCCTCTTCGTCTTGTCGTCGTTATCGTCCACCTTGTCTTGTCATCGTCGACGTCCTCCTCGTCTTGTCATCGTCGTCGTCGTCCTCCTTGTCTTGTCATTGTCGTCGTCGTCCTCCTCGTCTTGTCATTGTCGACGTCCACCTTGTCTTGTCATCGTCGTCGTCCTCCTCCTCGTCTTGTCATTGTCGTCGTCCTCTTCGTCTTGTCATCGTCGACGTCCACCTTGTCTTGTCATCGTCGTCGTCCTCCTTGTCTTGTCATCGTCGTCCTCCTCGTCTTGTCATTGTCGTCGTCATCGTTGTTGTTGTTCGACGATGATGAAGGTAAATAAGGTAAGATTTAGTTTTAAAATTCATTTTCAAACTTTTGGTTATTTATATGTATATCATGACTCATCTTTTTCGCAAACTGCTCCAATATTCAACTATTATATTTATTATTACAATTATAAATAGGATACAACAGAGAAGATTGGTGTGGAGACTTCCACAGGTCCCGCGAAGGAGGCTGTAGATGATGTTTTGAGTGTTTTGTCGTCCGCCATTGACAAGATTGCTTGGGGTCTGCTAGCCTGGTTTTTTTGTGGTAAGACATTTCTTATGTTTTATAAAAAATACCGTTTTATTAATCATCTCATCTTTTTTAGGTTTTTTGTCGGCATGGGTGGGAAGTGTCTCCGGAAGATGGCGAAGAGCTGTCCTTGCAGCTAGGGGGTTTCTTTCCGGAGAGGGATTGGGTGGAGGGGACGATGCTGGCGGAAGAAGAGTTGGTTTTTTGGAGGTCATCCTCTTCTTCGTAGGTAAGAATTTTAAGGTTTTTCGTAACAACGAGTTTGTACATGCACCTACTAAGAAAATATTTATGCATTCAGGACTAAATGTAATGTAATTAATTAATTTCTATAAATATTTCCAGCTTTAGCTATTTATGAAGGTGCTGTCCTTACATCTGGAGTTGAGATGATGGGTTTGGGTTCAGCTGCATTCTACTGCATCCAAAAACAAACAGCTCCTAGACGATTCACTACTCCTTAAATGGATAAGTTGTCTCCAGTGTTGTTGATGAGACTGATAAACAAATAAATTTGTGATATTTGTTTGTGACATTTAATGTTATTTCGAAGTTTTATAAAATTGTTCATTATTAAAGTTAAGAAATAAATAAAATTGTTTATTTGTATATCTGTAAGTTATGTTTTAACAATTTATTATAATATTATCAAACAATTTTTCAAATCTGTTACAACATCATTAATATTGGAGTAATTGGTGGAGGTGCTAAATGTAAAAATGGTTAGACGCGATGTATACAACTTTGTTGTAATTTGAACAATTTACGACTGTTAAGCACGGTTTAGTTATGTAATCATATATTATTTTCATGACAAGGGCTGACATGGAATACTATTTCATAAACAACTTCAATTTATTATGTTGACGAGCTAACTTTAATAATTTTAAATACATCAAACAAGAAAATTGCATAATCGAGTAGATAGATATCTTTTTAAGCACATTCAGTAGTTCAATTAGAATGAAAATGTCCGACAGAAGCATAAATCATTCCTCATTGTTCATATCGCATTGTTGTCCCTTAAATATTCAAGCCATTAATACCTTGGGTATTATGCACACGCTTTATTCATGTGGAAACCTCAAGTATTACATTTAGACTCCGTACCCCACTCTTTCCAAATGATTTCGAGTAAATCAACAGAAGCAAAAGCTTTAACGATTATCACTGAAGGGCGTGGTTCAAAAGGAAGCTTATGAAATAGTCTTTTTAAATATTTTTCGCTAAAAAATGCTGATCATGTGTCTCCGCCAGAAAGAAAATGTTATAAATTTATAGAACGATACCTCATTCTTTACATATATACGGTTAGAAAATATTGATAAAGTTCGGTGTTTCTCAATTAGATAACTATGTGAACCAATAAGTGGGAATTTGTTTCTTTGGTTCGTTCCATGGACGATAAGTTGACTTTTTCTATCTTTAGCTGAAGCCATGCATTAAAGAACTGGATTGAGAAATGCTTGATTGAGCCGCGTGTATGCATGTACATTCGTTTTCATGCATCGAATATTATTATTCCAGGATGAATTGTCAAGATAAAATGTATTTGAATGGTGCTGGAAGGGATGAATTGTTGTGTTGAATCTCCATGTACTCGAAGAAGCAGAACCAGCAGCAGAGTGAATGAATGCCAAGTAAGCGTCTACCAGGGTGATGAAGTCTGGGACTCCACGTGCGGGTGGAGGAAAGAACTTTGGAATTAGTTGGAATTATCCAAGGATTTCGACAGCGACAGACGTTGGGATGAAATTGCTCATATATACCAAATGCACTCTACGCACTTTTTAGCTGCTGTGCCCCAAAATATAAAATCTTCTCCTCTTTGACTTTGGCAGCCAACATACTTTCAATAAAAGAATGTATAGTATAATAATATTCCACATGTAATACTTTACTCGTCGTCTTCTTCAATCTTGCTACGCGCTTTTTTTTTGTCTTAGAATAACCTCCTGAGTATGGATTGACATGTTTACGAAACCAGTTTGTACTAACTGATAACTACTGACGCATAAATAAAGGATTACAAACAAGCAGACATGACTGTTTTTGGTAAATACAGAGTGAGAGCTAATCTAAAAAGGAATTGCTTGTGCTGGATATCCAGATAGCAGAAGTGCGTGCTGAGGTCATTAGCCTTAAAACCTTCTCTTGAACCCCCCACTTAAACGGCAACATAAGCACCTCCGTTTGCTTCTTCTACTCCAGTCGGGATTACCTCCTGACCCAAAACACGTCATCGTTCAAAATTCGCTTATACACAAACTAATCCAGTGTATTTTCAAAATCATAGATTCTGCGTCGTAAAGAAGACGACTGTGCCACATATTGGGCTTAACTACCTCGAAATTTTGTAAGTTTTATAAAGCCAATTAATAAAAATATTTTCTGGTAATAGAGAGATAACATACGATAACGGAGGTATCCATATTATTAAAAGATTGGATTATTGAGTTTAAACAAAATGGTGCTCTTTGTTAACTTTATTTATTAGTCCAATGTCCTCCTTTCATAGCGTGTGATGGTGATCCTGATCCCACTGTGGTTTAAAGGCTAGACCTCACCTACTACATATAACGATCTATCTTTCCAACTGCGTGTGACAATAAAATAAGAATGCATCGTTAAAAACATGTTAGTTTCATTTTAATGGTTTTCTAACCTTTCCAGTAAACACCACCTAACCCCCCTTTTGTTTTTATATTCGACTCATTACCTCATTATCTCGGGAAGTTTGGTTAGCACAAGTACAATTAATGACCACATAGTTTGGCATATAAAAAAATGGCGAGGAAAAAAAGCCAGAGGGATGAAAAATGACTGATAAGCATTTCTCACATATTTGATTCGTGTTCCTTTGTTGTAATTGCCTCCATAATTATCACGACACTATTTCCTTTTAATAACTTAAACCTTTGTTATTACAGCAACAATGTTCCATAAGGTCTTGATTGTTTGCCTTGCTATACAATTAATCCTCGGATTTCCATTAATTATTCAACAACTTAATAAGAATGGAACGAAGGAGAAGTTTGTGATCCAACAAGAATATCCCATTGGAAGAGAAGGAGAGCGGAAATTTCCATTCTGTATGTTTATAATATCAATATAATTCTAAATTCTTTTTTTGCACATGTGGTTAGTTTATGCGTTTTCGTATACGTAAATCGAAACTGAGTTATTAAGCTGTATGGGAGTTAAAGTAGTTGTCATTTTAGAGCTGGCTATTATTTTATTTCACATAAATTTTGATTATATGCAATTTCAGATTTGGAGAATTACGTCGGAAGTATAAAGACAGTACATAAGAACAAAACAAAGACTAATAGAGTTGCTCGTCAAGCACCACATCAACCACACAAGGAAGAATACACTTATACATACACAGCATCATGTGCTGCGCCCGATCCCAGAAATTCATTGAGATACTCAAGATACTGTAGGAGAAATCCGATCAACAATGGTGAGATATATAGCCTAAATTAACAAATGTTCCAATTTTTATGTTAATGTGGATATCATATTAAGATATCCGGTGGTGGTGTGATCGTGTTATCCCAGAAACAGGAGAAATACATGACTTCTCATCCATATCATATGATGCGTTGGCTCAACATAAATCGAGGGTCCATGGGCCACTGTTAGTTGGTCAAATTTTTTGTATTATTTGATACTATTATGTAGACTTGGTATTAAAATATTCTACTGTTATACATGAAGCCCTACAATTGATGAAGTTTATGGAAAACGACAACCTGATAATCGTAATTGTCTTATGTAAAATTTAGTACAAGTTAACTTTTAGCTCAATTAATTTGGCTATGTTTTTAGGAATTTTCTATATTTGCCCATTCAACGACTTAGATGAAACAGACAATATAAACACGTTTAAATCTCATTTGCGTCGCTCCCATTATTTGTCGCAGGAACAGTAAGCTAAAATATATAGAAAACATGAAACCATACAAATTTTCGATGTACGTATTTATTGTATTTAAAGGTTGATAATCCAAAATCAACAACAAACAGAACGAAGGAAGAAACAACGCGAGAATGAGTCAGTCCTAACTCACTGGATAACCTGGATGGTTGGGGATGCAAATAGAAGACTACCACCTCTCGTTGAAGGAGAAAGTGTCGATCCAAATGACGTTCATATGATTGCCATTCGTGATATCAACCTAAACAGGAGAAATACGATCACATTAGAAAATGCGAATGATAATAGAGCTTATCACTTGACTTATATTGTTGGGTATTTATTACCTGTTGGTTCACCAGACAGAGGTCCAAAGGAAATGTTTGAAAGAAATAAATTAAATCCTGAGTTCCGAGGATTTATATTTGTGGACTCGGCAGTGATGTATATAGTTAAATAATACTTAAATAATACTTTCTACTTTTAATATCCTTCGTATGACCTGTTGCAGACCGAGAGCTTGTACCTACCACACTGACGTAAGGTCACGTGAACGCAGTCCAGTTTTCAAACATGCCCGAGCAGGTTACAAAGTATATTCGTCTGTGAGTTTGCCAACTTCAATTAACATATTTAACAAAATATGTTTATTATCTAAATATGCGCACGTCTTTGCAGACTATCGTTTTCAACGGTAGACCTTTCGGAGAAAGTGTGCAGATGGTTATAAATGAGCAACTGAAGTGGGTAAACATGGCGTCACATCAGACCGTTGTTAACCCTGCACCGGGGAAAATGTTTATTCGTATTGCTAATCAACTTATTGTTAGTAAATTTAACAAAAAATCTATATTGACGGATGCGCAATCAGATGAAGCATATAGAACGATCAGAGAAGAAAGAAATCTGTGGGAGTTGGTCCCTAACACAGCTAACTGGAAACCTCTGTATAAGTTTGACGAATTTGATACGGAACAAGGTGTTAATGATTTTAATGAGGACGAAATATACCAACTCGAAGAAGATGAAGACGATAGGCACATCGACCTCAGACTTGGAGGATCGATCGTAACTCACTGGATAACCTGGATGGCTGGGGATGCAAATAGAAGACTACCACCTCTCGTTGAAGGAGAAAGTGTCGATCCAAATGACGTTCATATGATTGCCATTCGTGATATCAACCTAAACAGGAGAAATACGATCACATTAGAAAATGCGAATGATAATAGAGCTTATCACTTGACTTATATTGTTGGGTATTTATTACCTGTTGGTTCACCAGACAGAGGTCCAAAGGAAATGTTTGAAAGAAATAAATTAAATCCTGAGTTCCGAGGATTTATATTTGCAGACTCAGCCTACATGTAAGAGCATGTAAAAAATTTAGGCTTGACTTTATGTACTTAAACTATTCTTTATAGACGTGCCCCCTGTATCTACCACACTGCCATAGGGTCACGTGAAAGCAGTCCAGTTTTCAAACGTGCCCGAGCAGGTTACAAAGTATATTCGTCTGTGAGTTTGCCAACTTCAATTAACATATTTAACAAAATATGTTTATTATCTAAATATGCGCACGTCTTTGCAGACTATCGTTTTCAACGGTAGACCTTTCGGAGAAAGTGTGCAGATGGTTATAAATGAGCAACTGAAGTGGGTAAACATGGCGTTCCATCAGACGGTTATTTCCCCTTCCACAACCAGGATGTATATTGAAGTTTTAAATCAAGTTACCGTTGGTAAATGCAACAAAAAATCCTTCTTGACTGCAACAGAGTCTGATCAAGCATATAAGGCAATCAGAGAACAGCGTAATTTGTGGGAGATGATACCTAACAGGAACCATCTCAACTGGAATCAAATGTATATCGGCGTTCAATTTTAATATAAATATTATGCTTCGTGAAGTTGACTTTTGTTTGGGCAAACCATATTCCTCTGAATATGTGTACCTTTTGAGGATTTAACATATTACATCTTAGTTTTAAAATATTAATGCAATTGTGTTACTACTAGTTAGTAGTAGTTACTAGTAGTATCACTAGTTATTATTTTTATCATTCATCCCAAGTATTAAAAACTAAATCTAAGATTTATCAAGTTTGCGCATAATCAAAGCTCACAATAGTAAATTCAATGGGATGCAATTTATTTGACTAATTTAATCCTCAGATCGGATCGACTCAACGCCATTTCCTCTTTGCAAAGCTCATGTATAAAATAAAACCATCCATTCACTCACGCACTCACTTCTGCTCTCCTTCCTATGCCCTCTGCCCACCGAGAGAGAAAGGAAACGGGAATAAACGTAATTCGAAATATCTGGCTACGTCAGGAGCACTTCCCACCCATCTCCTGACATCCCATCCCATCCACGCCAGGACGAAACAAATGGGATGCAAAGTATTCACAAACTTTGCAAACCTACATATATGCCTATTCATCCATCCGACAAAGTCCTTTCTTCACCTTCTTTCTCGATGCATCACATCAGCCGAGGGTTTCCAGCACCGGTTTTTTATTCATGCTTTCCAATGACCTCGTTTGTCCAAGCTGACAACGGATAGATCAAAATTGTCATCACTGAATTATTCCAGAGTTTTTGTATCACCATTGATCATCAGTTCTTGACGTACTCATTTTTACTGCGTTCCACTGCCACCGTCATCGTCACCAAATGGCAGTGTTAAATGTCACCTGCGTTGGCTGGACTTCAGCACTCCTTCAGAAATGTAAAAACTAACTTTGTGCTTACGTCAAAGTCGCATGACTTGTCCAAACTAACTGATAACCAAGTCGGTGTACAGTTATTGTATTTATGGGCACACCTTCTTTAGGCATGCTTCTTCACCGCCTTGCTGGTAACCAGCCTAGTAACACTTTATCATTTTTATGGCAAATAAAATATTTAATGTCTCATAATAATACCCCTCCAACCAAATGCCCAAGCTAGCTAACACCAACTTCTTGATCATGACAATATTTCCTCTCGACGTGCCAAACCAAGCCAAAATTCAGAATCAGTTGTGAAAAATTTCCCACCATCACCATTTTAGATCATTCTATATACACATTTCACTAGGCGAAACACAATTTTAGCAGACGTTGTTAGTTCTTTCTCTTCCTCTAAAAATGCAGGACTTGGCTCAGATGTTCCTTCCCCAAAGTAATAAACTCGTTCCTGTCTTACTCGAGGAGAGAAAAATTGCGATCGTGATATATTTCGCAATAATGCCAAGTAAGTAGAATGATACCGTTTGATTTAGGGAGCTGAAATGGGTCTTCTGTTAGGCACCATATCCTCTCTCTCTACAGAACTGGGTACACATCGTCAGGTCCACGGCTCATTGTTTTAATCGCAACCCATTTAAACAAGACCCACAACAAATGGGAGTGCTACCTCTTTTTATGAAATTATTTTAAAGGAACCTTTACTTAATCCAATTTAAACCATGCTAAAATAAAAATAGAAACAGGTGTTAAATACAAAATTTCAGGTATCTACTTTAATAAGTTGGTGGAAAAACAAATATGTACATACATATGGTTTTTACTGTTAAAGTTTTCTAGTAAAGAAATTCGAAATGTCCTGTTTGAGAAACTAGAGCAGTCTTCTCACGACAGTCTGAAGTGGGAATGTTGGTTGATGGAATGCAATTCACAACAATAGTGATTCAAAGGATTGTTTTGTAGATGGTGTGAGGTAGGGATTGCAAATTCGGATATCTCCGAATCAGAAACAAAATCCAGATTTTAGAGTATCAAAAAAATAAAATGTCAGCATATGAGATGAGATGTGCTTCTGAGGATGAGTTCTGTCCCAGAATGCACTTTTCCTTCCGCCAATAAATACTTCTGTAACAAATACTTTAGTAACAAAATTCGACCTCGATTGAATGATAACCTTTGTCCGATAAAGTATTTCTTGGTTCAAATTTCAGACTTTGAAGCCCTTTGGATATGTTATGTGTCAAAACTTGGTTTGTAATGTTTAACCCTTTTGATGGAACCAAACTATTTGGGGGTTTACACTGGGGCACTAAGCCTAATATTTACCACACATCCGAAGTAAATCAAAATTTTAATGTGAGAGGTACAAATTATTATTCTGTGCCAATTTTACCTATTGCTCACACTTAGTGGAACCAATGGATCATTTTATGAATAAAACAATTTAGTCAAATTGAAAAACTTTGAAAGGATTTAAATAATTTCAAAAATGGATTTGAATCCGATAATAATTTGAATTCGCGCTGAGCGGATAATTCGAAATCCGGATTTGCAACCCCTAGTGTAAGGTTACATATCCACTCAAACATAGAGTAGGATTGCCGAATGAGATTTTCTACTGTATTTGTTTCATTTTCTTTCGTGCACGTTGCCTTTCTTTCGTTTTATTCTGTACTTTCTACTCTGTCTAGCACTTTCCGTTTCTATCCGAATTTTTTTTACGACTCACAAACTTTCTGCTCAAGGTTGGTGGTGAGTCCTAGTTGTTCGTAATACTAAAGTGTGTTCTTTTCGAACAGGATCTGCAGATTTGATGATACCACTACTGCTGCTGCTCCCACTATTCCTTTGCCGCAGTCCTGGTTCTTCCTTGGAACGTATGTAGCGTCATCAGCTTTCACTAGGAGAAAGTCAGTTACCGCCAACTGACACATTCTCTGACAGTGGCTGAGCCAGGCTAAACCTAGAATTGGCATAAACCCACGATGCGCTCTCCTGTATGTACTTGATATGCTGCTGAAGCCAATGTGTTTAAAATCAATACAGCATTACAAATGCATGCCCATGCATCATCAACTACCTTAGAACAGAGCAATCGGAACTCGTAGATATTGAATTGCCACATTAACGCGTCAGTTATCCAATAATTTTACAAATGACTGCCGGAAGAATGCACAGAGCATGGAACAAAACCATAATAAGCACAAATTAGCACGGCCAAAAAACAAGGATTTTCTTGTGCATGCGTGCCATCTTTTGCAGTTTAACAGTTTTATTTTTATGAATACATTTTCGTATATGTATGAATACGCAATGTGTTTTATGAGAGCCGATGTTACAAGCAGTTAGGTTTTATCCTTATTGTTAGTATTATTTCATATAAAAAATGCAAGGGTTTTATTTCAACTAGGGGTTGTACTTTCTCTAAATGGGAAGCCACTATACACGTACGCCATACATTTACCCATAAACCCGCTGGCGTTTTTTTCTTCTCTCATACTTTAGAAAATGAAAGTCGCTACAACTTGTTTTGTTTTCACGTTAGTCAGATTCCTTTGTTGACTGTACATTTTGCAGAGCCTCGCAGGATATTAATTTGCCGAGTAATAAAATGAATAAAGAATGCCGTTTGCGAATATCATTTGGGTTTTCTCCATCTCGCCTCAGCGTGCTTATGTCCTGCTGTCCTCTACTTTTTCTTCATTGTTTCTTCATGGCCTTGCACCGCCCACTATGTCATTTCGAAACAACAAGATACAGCGCACGACATATTCCGAAATGTGAAATAATCGTGAAAAGTTGCTCAATGTAGTACATTTGTAGGTTTTCGTGCGTTCTCATTTTCTTCAACTCGTGTTTCATCCAAATAACTTGCCTATCTTGGACAGCAACTCAAAATGGCAAAGTAGACCGGATTTTCCATGATTGAAACAAAGAATAAACAAAAGTTGAGAAAAACCCGCAAATCTGGCTTAAAAGTTGGATTTAGAGTGGAATAACGAGGGGCGGAAAGTAAAAGAAACTTGAGAAGTAGAACGAACAGCACGACCTGTATACAGAAATGTACATACGTAAGTTTGTATATTACGTGGACAGATAGATAGCTATATTTAAGTTTGAGAAGAGGATGAGCTTGGCAACAAAATTAAGCTAAACTACAAATTTGAGTAGAGTGCAGCAGTTTCCGAGTATAGAAGACACGAGATTGTACGAAAAGATTAGCACTCCAACTCTCCTTTCTCTGCCTGATGGATTTGAAGAGCTCCGCCGGAGAAATTTTGGCATGGTGGAATTTCAGATTACTGGTGGTGGAAAAGTACAAAATGAAACTATTTTGCTACTTGAGAACAAAATGCAAAAGACGAATAGCGGAGTACGATTACTGGCCATCGGGATACTCCAGCATCAGGGAGAAAGTCAGTAAAAGGAAGGGTGGGATTTGTTTGGGATTTGGTCTCTGCAGTAGCCCAGACAGGGAGGACGCAGGGAGAGGAGTAGCGGACGAGTGAGAAATGGCAAGTGGATAGGTCGTCTGCACCGTCGTCCTCTCTGCCTCGTGGTCGGAGCCAGAGCTGGCATGAAGACAGTGGATGGATTATCTACAAATCCAAATCAATTACACCAAAGCATCATAAATCATCGACAAGTCAGCAGAGAGGGTGACAAAGCTCAAAGCTGGAAACTTTCTCCTCCACTCATATTCCTTCACAGTCCCACTCAGTCGCACATTACTCACCAAGAATAATAACAACGTACTGCTGGGTGAGTCAGTTAGTCGGATAGAAGTATTTCGGATAATTTTAAACGGCCTTTGCTAACAATATCTGTGATACTGCCTATCATAAAGAGTATATGTAACGCTTCTAGAAATAAAAAAAGAGCATCACATAGCAA